TGCAGCGGTGCGGGCAGTTGCAGGCGCACCCCGTGCGCCCATGTTCCCCTCTGCCCACCCCGCTGCGGTGGGCGGGATTCAAGGTGCAGGCGGTCACCTGTACAGCCCTCCATGGCCAGCAGCTGGCTTATCTGAGGGACCGCCTCTCCCCGGTGGTTTCTCCCTGTCCCGCTGGGTCTGGCAGGAGGGGCACACTCTGGGTTCTGGGTCTCTTCAGTGAGAGGATCCCACCTTACGGGGCCCTGGAAGCGTGCCTTTCCTGTCACAGTGCCTGCCCTCCAGAGCACCAGCACCCCCACACCCCCACGATCAGACTGGCCCCGACCCTCTGGCCTGCCTTGAAGCACTGAAGACCAGGATGTACTCCGAGGCTTGGGGGCTGAGAGGCTAGACGCCCCACGGAGAGATGCCCGTTGTTGATTGTTTTATCTGGGTTTACCCTTGGTGACCACGGTAGGTGTTTGTTCTTTGTTAATACTGTGTGTGGCTGGTTGGTTGGTTGGTTGGTTGGTTGGTTGGTTGGTTGGTTGGTTGTCACATGTCGTCAGTGCCCAGAGTTGCATTTGCCAGGTGGGTGGCCATATCAGAGGAACGAGTGAGGTGTCACCGGGCCTTTTAACGGAACCTGTGCCTGGGGACCGTTGCTGGCCACAGGGCAGCGTTGTCTGCGATCGTGTCCGAACCTGGATGGCCGCGGAAAACTTCCTGGGATTAGGTGATCCTGCGGGGCAGTGGTCTCCTGGGTCTCTCCTGGCAGGGCTGGCCCACCTCCGGGAGAGCGGTGGCGTGTGGCGTGCGTGTCTTTGCCCCTTGGTGTGGTGCGTTCAGGAAAGGCCCCCTTTGCAATGCCTCTGATTCACAGCCATCATCCGGGAGCCCTTTGGCCTAAAGCCGCAGCCCGAAGGGGCATTTCTGAGAGAGAAAGGGAAACCATCTGGGGCCAATTAAGCCAAGGGACCCCCCAGGTCCCGGCTGGTTTTTGAACTCTCCTGAGCCCCTGCCTCGTTTGAGAGCTGGGCGTTGGGGGGGTCTTCTGGCCTAATCTTCGTGGCACCGTCTGGGTCAGGCAAAGATCGCCTTGCAAGCCGCCATAATACCTCGCTGCTCATAGCTGTTTGCCTTGCATGCAGACTCTGTGGCTTGAGCGGGAGCTGCCCGAGATCGGAGCCGGTCGCTCCTAAGGGAGAGGGGTGCCTTTCCAACTGTGTCCCGAAAGAAACTTCCCATATCCTTAGAACTCACCATAAGGGCAGGCAGGGAATTCTTGCATCTCTTCTACGGCGGAGAATCTGAAGTGGGGAAGTATCTAAACAGGTTTGTATTCCCTGGTGACCTTTGGAGATTGGGAGGACTTGAGGCTGAGCCTCAAAGAACTTGCTGGAATGACGTCTGCCTGGGCCAAGCCATCCAATGCGCCACTTCTTGCTCGCTGCTTAGAGAGAGGCGGGATTTCACTTGAGACTTCTGCCTAAAAATGTGCAACTACCTGAACGTTGCCATGTAGAAGCAGAGGTTGCTTGAGAGCTATGCTCATTGGCCTTGAAAGAGTTCCTCCACTTGTCCCCGGGTGCCGCTTTTCCTGTTTCGCTGGCCCTTTGCACTGCAGAGCAGATGCACAGGCTGGGGAAAGTGCTGCATTTCCCAGTAAGCAGAGACTCCGTGTTGTGGAGAAGCCTCGCAACATACGCTGTCCGGATTTATCAGACCAGAGTTCCTGTTCCTCCTCCTTTGACTGTTACGTGGGGGGAGCTGAGATGCTCCCCTCCCTCCAGGTAGCCGCAAAAGCTGAGATTGTTGGAGCTGTGAGAAGAAGGCTTGAAACCGGCTGCTCCGGGGACCTGCCCCCTTTCTCACGACTTGGCCGCCTGCTGCGGACGCTGCCAAGGCTGGCTTCCTTCTGCAGGCACCCAGGCAGCTGTGAAGAGTGCTCGCAGACGTCCCTGTGAGCCGCAGCAGACGATGTGCAAATGTACCAGGTGCCCTGAGAAAACCCAACTTGCTTCAGGACTGGAAACGTGAGAGATTTCACGTTCCCTAACCTTGAGGGTGCTGCTGAAGCAAAACAGGTTGTGTGGGAAACTCGTGAGCCCAAATACAGGCTGTGCAGAAGGCTGGGGAAGTTTTAAGGGGACCGGGAGGGCCGGTGTGTGATTTATTTTCTCTCGGGGAAGCCAGACACCCTCACAGGGAGCCCGACTTGCTTTCCCCCGTGGAGACACGTTGTCCCTTCCAGCTTCTCCTCCTTGTTCTACTTATTTCCTTCCCTCCGGCTCTTTGGAATCACTTTGGTGCCCAAGATTACTACAGTTCAGCTGTAGTAGCAGATTACTGACACTCACATCTGCTTGCAGTCTGGAGGCACGGAAGGGTGCAGGGCACCCTTGGTTGCTGTTCAAAGGGACTACCAGCTTGTGATCACCAAGGGTGAGAAACCCTGCCTGGCAGAAAGCGAAGTGAGCAGAGAGTGAGGAGGCTTGCAGAACCTGCGTAGACATTTGGTGCATGGATGTGCTCTCTCACGCAAATCCACAGCCGCGCTCAGCGAGCATCGAGCCCTTGAGTCACACTTTAACTTATTTTCAAGTGTTACAAACCACCTCCCTCCAAAGCTCTAGGCAGCGGCCAAAATAAGGCACCGTACAATAGAGAATAAGGATGCTATAAGAAAATGAAAAATAAACCCTAACAAAACAGTATCTTCATACATTTGTATGTTGTACACCACCCAGAATAGCAATGGGCAGCTTATAAATTTAATAAAACAAATATTTGGCACAGATCTTACTCTTGAGAGTAAATGCCGTTGAACCCAGGGACGCGGCAGTGGTTAATTTCCAGGGAGATGTAGGATTGGGTGATTGGTAATTGGCCCCCAATACACCTGCACTCCCCCTCCCACTTCATTTCTGTTCCCTTGCTTGAAAAGAAGATTAAAAATTAAAACACTCCAGCGCTTGACCACAGACTTCTTCAAAATACTTTCAGGGCAATCTTCTGGTGCTTTTTTCCACTAACCTTCAAATGTAGGTTGATGTGATGAAACCTCCGTGGGATTCCATTATGGGGAGGGAATTGTTCAGAATTAGCAAGATTTAGGGAGGGTGGTGGTGGGAGGGAGGCATAGGAAGCACTGGAAAAGGCTTGGCTTGACCTCCCAAAAGATATGACAGACCCAGGTAAATGCAGGAAATGATGACAGGTGTGATTAAGGTACGGGAGCAGCTTCCCTGCAAAGAACGGTTATTACGTTTCAAATTATTTTATTTGGAGAACAGACATGTTGGCAGGAGGCATACGTGGTGTAGAGAAAATCCAATATTGTTCCATGGATTTTATCCCCGATGCTATTTGATATCTTTATGAAGTGGTCGGCGGGGGGCGGGTGTTGACATCAGTCTACCGGTGATGCTGTGTTCTACATCTCCACAAAATCTGAGTTGGGAGAGACGGTGCATGTTCTGAACCCGTGTCGTCATCCCTTAATGAGGTGGATCAGGGCCAATGAACTGTGCTTAAATCCTAAGAAGATGGAGACTTTGTGGATGGTGGGGGATTCCTTGGAATGGGAAGGGGAGGACTTTAACTGTTCTCAGAAGGATTGGATTGCACTCCCTCCCTCAAAGTTATATAGATGGGGCGTTTTCCTAGAGTCATCGGTATTATTAGAGGTTCAAGGGACCTCTGTGGCCAAAAGCCGGCTTCGGTAGATCCGCACTAGCAACTTTTCTTAGACAGATTTCCTGTTTCCCATTAATGATTTTGAATGACCAGAAGTAACTGTTGTACCGATATCTTAGAATGAGGACAGCTTTATATAGAAGACAAAACCGGTCACGGGTGGAGAAATGGTCAGGGACTGGCAACCTCAGGTTTCGTTGACAGTGACACGATGTGCAGCTGTCATCATACCTGCTCCAGAAGCTTAGCTGGAGTAGAGTGCAGCAGCCTTGTTGTTGAATGGGACACCTGTCCATCTACATCCTCCACCTCTCTGAAAGCTGATCAGCCAACTAGCCAGTAAGCCAAGCTCAAGACTTTGCTTTTGACCTTTAAAGCCCCAAACAATGTGGAACAAGATACCCGATGGGCCACCTTTGCTGTTGTGGAACTTGTGCACTGTAAAGTCACAGAGGATGATGTCCCAAGAACCACAGACATCCAAGACCAGCAGAACACCATTTTGTGGTTGCCCTGAGGAGGCCTTCTCGGTGACTTCTGTTCTCCTTGTTTCCTTGGGCAACCCTGATTGAGACTTTTTGTTTAGGGAGAAAATTAG